TCAAGCATTGATAGCTTTTTCCACTTGCTTCCTGTCTGTATGCTAAGCTAAGCTAAAAGACGCCTAGTTGTAGCAAAAGTAGTATCTTTTCAGCCCATTCTCAGCACAAAAAATATATATATATACCCCAAAAAGTCCCATTGCCTCTCCTTTTAATTTTCTGTCAGTATTATAAATACACTGTCATTCAGGGTGTGTATTGTTTAGCAGTAAGCACATCAACTGAAGCCATCTGAGGCCACGCATTAAGCTCAGAAAGGACAAATAGCTGCAGAGCGGCTGCACATATTGATGCGCTGACCCTCTATTTACGGGGAAGGTCTCCCTAATGAGGAGTGAAACATTGACTAAGCAATCCTCACACATGCCATCAGGCTTTTATAACACCGACGCTTTGACTTTCTGCACGAAAACAACCGCCCTGGAGAGAGCTGTTGCGTATATTGACGCTAGCAATGTGTTGTTACTTTCTGTCACTGTAGCTGCCATGTCCTTCTGATAGAGACAGCGGGAGCCTGGCAGGTAGAAAACCAAACTGTGACTGCATTATCTCTGCTTCACTGCACTGCTTTCTCCTTCGCTTTTCTTGCTCTTTGCCCTCTCTCTAACGCTCCCCTCTTCTTTCTTCTGGGACTTTATTTGTCGCTTGACCCTTAATTCACTGTGCCACAGCTGAAGTGACAGGAGTCAGAGGGGGCTCCTCTCCATTCACTAAGAGTGTCACCTTGGAAAGGATTCGACTCGAGTTACATTCATCTTGCTACTCTCAAAAACCAGAAGCAGAAATGGTAGTGTTACTATCTTAATGCAGGGTAAGGGAGTAACGGGTGACATGTAATACAGTTGCATTGCATTTGATATTGAGGTAATCCAAAAGTAACAGAACAGAATAGATTTTGATGCTCAGTGTAGGTTGAGGTATTCTTTTAAAAATGATATTGTAATGGATAACAAGTAACCCTCCCAACCCTGAGCAACGCAAACTGTGTGGGTTTCAAATTAAATTAGAATAGACTGCTGGGAAATGTGATGCATCGTTAACACAAATTAAAAATAATAACACTTAAGAAAGCATTGTTTTTCAGGAGTAATACAAAAAAAACATGCATATCTTTTTATGGAATTCCTTTCTTACAAAGCCACTAAACCACGGTGCATTGTACTGCTGGGAGTTTATGGCTCTGACACTATTGAATTCAGAGATGAAAGAGTGGGGTGGGTGTGGGGGGGATATGAAAGTGAATCATGAAGGATGGAAAAGAAAGAAATCTGAGTGGAGTGGAGACATGCTCCTGCAGGCAGTAGTGCTGTGTCTTTGAGGCATCTTTTAGTTCTATATCCACCGCCAACAGTAACCACAGCTACCTTAATGAGATACATCCTCCTGTAATAGCATTATTAATCATTTCACAAACAAGAGGGGCCAGGCAACGGCCGAGCAGACATCAATCTCTCTGCAGCTGATATTTATGAGGCTGCCATTTTGTCTCCTGCATATTAAACATTCAATTTAGAGCCATTTAACTTTTTGTTTGGTGCACCATTTGTAATGCAAGCTGGAGTTTGTGCTCCACATAAAAATAGAAACATGACGGCGTGTGAGTTTCAAAACGACAGCAAGTGTGGAAATGCGTGACAAGAATGGGATTTTAAAATCAGCTGGGACACCGAACAAACAACTAAGGGTAAAAAACAAACCCTGTCGAAACAGCTTTTATGTTCCTTGGTGGAGCTTCTTTTGTACAGGTCTCAAAAAATATATATTTGAAGAATGAACCACATTTTTCTAAAAGATACTCCCTAATGTGGTGTCTAACACTGGTTTCAGACAGAGGGTGAAAAGAGGTGGTGCAGCACAGGCAGTATGAGAAAAATAAAGAGCTTTTTGAACATTAAAGCATGGAGACATGTCCCAGAAGAGACACTACATACTGATATACACCTGAACATCAGCAGGAGAGGACTCTTTAAAGTAGAGACACTACATACTGATATACACCTGAACATCAGCAGGAGAGGACTCTTTAAAGTAGAGACACTACATACTGATATACACCTGAACATCAGCTGGAGAGGACTCTTTAAAGTAGAGACACTACATACTGATATACACCTGAACATCAGCAGAATATGTCCTGATGATGGGATTAATCTGATATAATGTCTAATATATGATTTATTCCAACATCACCTTGCTTGTCCGAAGCTGCCTGTGATCTCCTGCCTTCACACTCCACTTTCAGCACCTATAGGGTGACAGGAAAGTATTGACATTGAGAAATAATTGTACATTTACACACCTCCAGTTATCCTATATGTGTCCAAACCTGATTTCCAGTGATTACAGCACAGCAGTCAATACCACGGTTCTGCACACTGAAGAGATTTATCAATAATGTCTAAATTACAGTTTCAGGACTTCATGTCATTCAGAGGATAATATCCAACATTCACCTTTGTTGTCCTTTGCCAACCTCATTTGTAATCTAGTTGGCACAGAGCGCCACTATTGGTCACGGTTCTAGAGGGATGTGCAAATGTCACCCCCCAAAAAAGCTGAAAGCGTGAAAGTCACTCGGGCTTCGGGGAGATAAAACACTCCGAATGCACACAGCTTGTTAGTCATGCTCCCTAATTACCAAACGCTTCATTCCCAATTGTCCAATCTCGGCTGCACAGAAGCGATGCCAGGGAAGCTGCTGGCATGCATGACTATTTGAACATCTTTTCAATTTATCATCTTTTTTTTCTCCAAACTGTTTTCTGTGTATCCCCGTCAGTTCAAGGTAATTGCTTTTCTTGCTGGCAATAAAATGTCGACAAAATCTCAATATTTACCCGAGTTTGGACATTATCGCTGTGTGAATTTACTGCTGCCAAGCCCTACATGAGTCATAGAGTGAATCATAATGTGCTACCAAAGTGGCAGTGATCCTCTATAATACCCCTCGTGCACATATCTCTCATAGTGTACGTGATCAAAGATGGCGGGCGTGTAATTGGATATGATTTCGGTTATTAGATGACGAACAGCCGACAAATTGGGCCTTGTCCTCTGCCAGCATTACGGGTCACAGCAATCAGTCAGTGGACTTAAAAGAGCCATCCAGACACAATGTGGGATTACCACATCAGAAATAAAGCTGAATATTTTTAAAAGTCAACAGCAGTGTTAAGTGATCTTTTGGTAAATGTAGCCGCGCACACTGAGGAGAGGCTGTTGACTTCATGAGAGCTGTTTCTCCCACATGTGTTATAACTCAATCTGCATCCACACTTCCACATATGACTGCATATTTGAGCGCAAGACTCCATAAAACCCTTTAATCCGAGCTGTGCATTAATTATTGCAGAGCCTTAAGTAGACCACATGGCAGCATCTGGTGTGCCGGGTGAGGAAACCAGCGGGGGGGGGGGGGTTTCCTGGGTCGCGTGCCCCCTTTTGAGAGGTTGAACTTTAGCTGCCGTGTCCACAAACACAGAATAACTGGATCATATGGACAGGGGACACAAGACTGAGTGATTACAGTTGGTTTCAATTGTTTAAAAGCATGAGACTGTGCATCAAAAAGCTCTTTAACTTAAGTAGAAAGTAGTGAAACCAGAGTGTAGAGAAACGTAGTTACAGTATACTTAAATGTTTAATTATCAAGAGGACATGTAGAACTCACTGACAGGTAAATCAAAAATACATTGACCATACTGTCTCATGAGACTCAGGCAGCAGCGCCCCTGTGTGGAGGAAAGCTGCACACACACCTGCAGTTAATGTACATACTGTATAGTGTCACAAAATCAATAAAGTTTTACCTTTACAGTTTCACCTGTGGGCCATAAGTTATAGTTTTGACCATATAGTGCCTTTAAATGCTGGTAATACTATAGCAATGCATTCATATGTAAGAGGAAACATACTTTTTTGTGGCTCAATTTCTTTTTTTGCATAATTTAATTTTTGTGTGTGATTTTTCTTTAAGTAAAATTAGAAATAAAAGAAAAGAAATACAAAAAATAACTGAATTTTATTTCCAGGTAAGCTGAGGTTGTAACTCCTTAAAAAGTATTGATATTAAATACATAAATCAGGGGTGTCAAACTCAAGGCCCGGGGGCCAAATCTGGCCCGTGACTTCATTTTCTGTGGCCCCACAAGAGCTTGCAAAGAATATAATGTGTTTATGATACGGTTACATGCCGATTTACAGAAGCACGTTGCCCATAAACTACATGTCCCACAATGCATCTCAAATTAAAAAAAAATCTCAGAATTTGACTTTTTTTTCTTCAAAATATGCCTTTTTTCTTAGCAGTTGCCTTTTTCTCAGAATTTGCCTTTTTATCAAAATGTTAATTTTTTTCCCCAGAATGTGGCTTTTCTTTTTAAATAATTTTGTGACATTCTCATTGAAAAGACTTGCAATTATTTGCCCTAGACTTCTTCTTTCAGACGTAGTTAATTATGAAGTTATTACCCTATCCGAAAATAATCCAATGCAGAGGCAATAATGTAATATAATACGTTATTTTATATATATATATATGTATTTTTATATAGTCTTAAAGTTACAACCGGTCCTTTGAATGCAACCATAATGTTAATGTGGCCCGAGATGAAATGGAGTTTGACACCCCTGACATAAATGGTACGTAAAATAGATTTGTGACTTGTTCTAACTACTCTCTGAACGACTACACTCAATAAATGCCACTTTTACATTATTATTATTATTATTATTATTATTTACAGAATGACATCCCTATATTTGCTTACTTGTGACAATCCAGGTCATCCTGCTGATTTAAAAACATGTATTTAGTTTGAATTATGTCATGATGCTCTACTTCCCACTGCCCTTTTTACTCTTTACCCTATACATAGCAGGTTGTTTATGACCGGAAGAGATAACAGAATATGAGTGCCGGACAATAAAAAGGGATGACACCATTTATAGCATATCATTTCAAAACATAATGATAAGTGCTTTCAGTCCCTTTTTTCAGACTCCTGGATTTCCTATTGAAGCGGATCGATCTAACTGTGGATTTTCACATATCTAGAAACGAGTGATTTGGTGTAAAAGTGGTTGTAAATACCCTGTGTGGACTTTGACCTGCGACCATCACCATGGTGAACCACAGCTTGGCCCGCGTTGTGCTCATGTTCGTTGGATTTTTCTCCTTTTTAGTCTCAATTACGTTTAACTCTCTATCTGGATTCGGGGCAAAATCAGGTGAGTGATATCAGATACTCCAAATCAGTTGTTTTGTGCACAATATGATGGTTTTAAATACTAAACGGTGCCTATTTCAACATAGGTGTTTTCAAGCAGTCAACAGAGGATGTGACAGTGAAGTATACGACCCCCATAACTCCTGCTCAATGGGCTCTGTTTGTGTGGGACTTGATATATGTTTGGGCGTTTGCCATGTACATATACTTCTTAGTGGGACTCTGCAGAAGGTAGTGCAATCTGTCGTGTTTTCACACATCATCTACAAGAAATTGTAATGTTTAATAGCTACTGTCGCTGCTCGATGTGTACCGGAAATCTGATTTGTTCTGTCAACGATATCATTTTATGGAGTTGTTAAAAAAGTGCCGATATCACGAAAAACAACTTTTTTTTTAACAAAGATTGAAACTACAAAACAACACGGCTTTCAGAAATTTAAAATACATCTAATAACAGGAAAAAACACATCAAAACTAACATAAAAAAAGACAGTAAAGCATAAAAAACATTAAAATGACGGATATAATATCTAATTGAAGTAAAATAAAAATGTCTTATTTTCAAAAATGTGTAAAGGCAACGTTGATTTGAAATCACTTAATCCTGAAATTGCATATTTGGACATTCCTAACCAAAACAAGAGCTCTGTTGTGATTGGTCAACCGCTTAGAGATGTCCCGCCCCTTAGCCTATCAAATACAATGTGTTGGAGCGCTAGCCAATAGGAGCGCAAGTGTTCCATTGTGATGTCAGTATGTTCCAGAAGTAAACAAAGCAGTCCAATGGAGGCGAACACAGGGATTTTAGCGTCTGCAGACCGTTTACATGCACTAAAACCTATAGAACACACTACAGGAGAGGGAAAAGCCCAGACAGTATAACAGTTGCTCTGACTTATGAAAGATTATTTCCCGACAGGCGCATTTTGTTCGTGTGTTTTATCCCATATTACCCTTGCTTCCCCGCAGGACGGCGTATGATTGGCTGTACACCACGCCTGCAGTGCTGCCTTATGGATTTCACGTCTGTCTCATCATCAATAACTGCCTGAACATTACGTGGTTGTTTCTGCTTGACAGAGAGTGAGTGTGTGAGTTCTGGTCGTCTATTTCTGATAAGCATGATGTATTTGTATGCTCTTGTGCAGTTTTAACATCTGCTTGTCTGTAGGTTGTTACTGCCGGTGCTGTTAACCTCCATATTAATTACGCTCAGCTACTACCTGATCCTGTGTTTCTCCTGCTATGGACTGAAGATCTACGGAGCCTGGCTGAACAAATATCACAACACAGACCTCTGGCTCATCAGGATACTGGTAACGATTGTTTTATAGGAACATTCCTGATGTTCGGACTTTGACATTTATTATTTTTGTTGCATCACAGCACGGCTTCAAAGGGAATAACATGTTAAAAAAGGTTGGAAGTGTTTGGTTTATAGACGCTGCAATTAAAACGCTATAAAACATGGTGTTCTTTGGAGTTAGAATGTAGTTAAGGTTAATAAAGGATATGTTTTAGCACCGGATTTCATCAGACTACCATTTAACCTTTGCTATACTTAAACATCCCCCTTGTGTTGCAAAGAGCACAACAACCAAAATCCACCCAAATCTCCTGTGAACCCCACCAATGAACACCTGCTATCACCTTTGTTTAATTGGTTTTAAAATACAAACAAAGCGACAGGTAATTGCAGGACTATGTCTCGTCTTGGTGCTTCCTTTCTGTTTGCCTGGCAACCTCACAATCACAAAAGGACTCTGGGAAATTGCCCAAGAGACATACTTGCATATACAACATTGAGTAAAGTTAGCTTTAGAGGTGCTAGTTAATTTTGCTACCTTAGCTAACATAGCGCTGGCTGTTGCTTCATATATGCAGACATGAGAGTGGTGACAATTCTCTCAACCAACTCTCGGAGTAAAAAAAGATTTCTGAAATGGTCTACTTTCTTTAAAGTGACATGTTATCAGTCAGTTGGTAGCCTTGCATTTGTTAAGTCTCCCTTACTGCTGACTCACTGTGAGGTTACAGAAGCTGCTCCACCACCACCCATATCTAAAGAGTGAATTCTCTCCGACACGTCCAGAGTAAAGCCGTGCACAAGGTGACCGACTGAGATTAGGAGGTTTAGAGGAAGCTGCAGCCAAAACCTCCAGATTGGTTTCCAGCCCTTCCTCTGCTTTGCTCTTCACATTAAAGAACACAGATAAGGTCATGTGACACACCAGCAGCATCCTGGGCAGCACTTAAAGCAGTCAGAGTATCTCGCAAAGTCTTCAGGATTTGGAGGATATTTATATATGGACATGCTTTTTGAGAAGCCATGTTGTGCTTTTTGGGGTTTTCTCTTCAATGTAGTGAGTGCTATAGGTTTATGCATGTCAATGGTCTGCAAAAGGCTAAATCCAAAAGTTCAACGATTGAGAAGAGCGAACAGGAAGTGGTGAAAGTTATTTCTGGGTATTAGGATTTGTTTATGTACCACTGGCTAGCACTCCAACACATTGTACATGAATGACTCTTTAAAGTAGAGACACTACATACTGATATACACCTGAACATCAGCAGGAGAGGACTCTTTAAAGTAGAGACACTAAATACTGATATACACCTGAACATCAGCAGGAGAGGACTCTTTAAAGTAGAGACACTACATACTGATATACACCTGAACATCAGCAGGAGAGGACTCTTTAAAGTAGAGACACTACATACTGATATACACCTGAACATCAGCAGGAGAGGACTCTTTAAAGTAGAGACACTACATACTGATATACACCTGAACATCAGCAGGAGAGAACTCTTTAAAGTAGAGACGCTACATACTGATATACACCTGATCATCAGCAGGAGAGGACTATTTAAAGTAGAGACACTACATACTGATATACACCTGAACATCAGCAGGAGAGGACTCTTTAAAGTAGAGACACTACATACTGATATACACCTGAACATCAGCAGGAGAGGACTCTTTAAAGTAGAGACACTACATACTGATATACACCTGAACATCAGCAGGAGAGGACTCTTTAAAGTAGAGACACTACATACTGATATACACCTGAACATCAGCAGGAGAGGACTCTTTAAAGTAGAGACACTACATACTGATATACACCTGAACATCAGCAGGAGAGGACTCTTTAAAGTAGAGACACTACATACTGATATACACCTGAACATCAGCAGGAGAGGACTCTTTAAAGTAGAGACACTACATACTGATATACACCTGAACATCAGCAGGAGAGGACTCTTTAAAGTAGAGACACTACATACTGATATACACCTGAACATCAGCAGGAGAGGACTCTTTAAAGTAGAGACACTACATACTGATATACACCTGAACATCAGCAGGAGAGGACTCTTTAAAGTAGAGACACTACATACTGATATACACCTGAACATCAGCAGGAGAGGACTCTTTAAAGTAGAGACACTACATACTGATATCATTCTCTCCTTGATTCAGGTACAGAATGGTGTGGCAGTATATGCTACATGGGGGAGTCTCTCCACTCTGCTGAACCTGACGATGTTCCTGCAGCATCAGACAGAAACGTCTAAATGTGAATGTGCGATGGTGGCGCTGCTGCTGCTTCTGATGCAGCTGCTGGTCTGGTGAGTCTGACCCCCTGCTGCTTTCTGTCGTTTAGTTTCTACCTCCTCTGAATCAAATCTCTTGTCTGTGACCAGAGAGGGCAAAAGTACACACATCCTTTACTCAAGTAGAAGTACAGATACTCGTGTTTAAACATACTCTGGTGAAAGTAGAAGTACTGACTAAACTTCTTTACTCAAGTAAAAGTAAAGAGGGCTTTGAAATGTACTTCAGTAAAAAGTACCCATAACTAGCAGCTGTTTTAAAGAGTACCTGACCTCCCTTTATATTAATAGAACAATAATGTCATTGTTAGCTAATGAATGTTTCCATGCTGAACAACGGCAACATGACAACGTTTTCATTGGTCCCTCTTCTTTAGAGAAGACCAGGAAATGATGGATACACGGATCAATAGTCAATAATAATGATCACGCCACCAAACACACATTCAAACTAAAGGAACCAGCCTGTTTGGAAAATGTAAGAAGTAGAAAGTACAGGTATTTGTGTTCAACATGTAAGAAGTAGAAAGTACAGGTATTTGTGTTCAACATGTAAGAAGTAGAAAGTACAGGTATTTGTGTTCAACATGTAAGAAGTCAAAGTCGTCAGAAAAACAAGTAGTGGAGTAAAGTGTATTAAAAAATGTACTTACTGTAAGTATAGTAACAAAGTATTTGTACTCCACTACTTCCCCCCTCTGTCTGTGACTCCCAGGTTCCTGTTAGAGAACTTCTACGTTGACGAGCATGTGCGATATATCGTCACCGTCTACCCCGTGGTGATCCTGTGGCTGACAGGCACTCTGGACAACTCTGCCACTACTAAAAGTGACATTTACATCTTTGAAGGTACTGTTTGACATTTAAAGGTCCCCTATTTTACTGTTTTTCATCAATATATTATAGGTCTCAGATATATACACTTTGAAAAACACTGCTTTAGATGAAAATAAGGAGCCCCTCCCCACGCCCCTCTGAGAGATATTTGGTTAAAAAGAACTCAGTGGGTTGTGTGTAGGTTCGGATCAGGGGGTCACAGGTTCAAACCCCACTGCAGTCAGCATGTCGTTGTGTCCCTGAGACACTTCACCCCAAATTGCTCCTGTGGGGATTGCCCACAGTGTTGAGTATGTAAGTCGCTTTGGATAAAAGCGTCTAACAAGTGAAATGTCATTTAATGTATTACCCCCTAAGTCCCTGTTCTTCTTCCACTCTATCAACCAGTAGCAGGTATTTCTAATTGGTACCCAATATGTACAAAACATTTACAAACTGTTATTTGAAATATGACTAATTCAATATGTTTGATAGTGATATATCAAACCAAATAGCTGTACAGTAAGAGCATCATCCTTCAGACGCCTGGTGTACCACAACGATGTAAAACACATAGTGGGATATAGTGATATTTAATGTTTCAAACACGATTATATTTGAGTGAAATAATGCAAAAATTAATTAAAATCAACTGATCTGTATATAATGTCAGTATTTTTTAAGCGTGTCTAAGTAGAAACAAACACACAAATAATGCACTTATAATAAAGAATTAATATTTGTTGTTAATAAAGACAGAAAAGTGTGCTTACAAAGAGGCTTGTGACCTTTGACTCAGAACAACATCAGGACAAATTAAAACAAATAAAATATGTGCATTGTGTAACTGTAAAGACCTTAAAGCACAACATTTATTCTGCCTATAAAGTCATAAAATGGGACAAATTAATTGCATGTTTAACTATAAAATCAGTTTTCCGTTTGAAGTTTCCTGCCGCTAAGCATGCTGGGAATTGTGTTTGTAGTGTGTGTGACATCACATGTGACATTAATGGAATGACATCCTCACATTTGAGATAGAAGCGATGACATCATCACAGTTGAGAGTAGACGCGATTACATCATCACATCACATGACATCTCAGTTCAGAGTAGAATCTATGACATCATCACATGACATCACAGATGGCTTTCAAGTTGACATTGCGAGAGCTCTGAAGTGCAGGCATTCTTCAGTTCTTCAGTTCAGAGCGGTGAGTGGTACACGTATTCAGTCAGAGCAAACTAACTTCACAGTTTTCTAGACAAAACACGTATTACGTAGACACATTGATTTGTATTCCTACGCACAACACAAGTCCACAGACAGCGCCATGGATAGAACAAAGTCAGACCAGAGCAACAAGGAGACATCCCACAGCCAGAACGATGAGAGTCTCCTGCAGTTTGACCCAGAGACCGTCAAACTGCTCGTGATGAGAGGAGATGAACTCTTTGAGTGTGCGACAGTCTGTGAGGAAAGATACGGCGCTCTGGAGGAAAGATACGGCGCTCTGGAGGAAAGAAACAGCGCTCTGGAGGAGGAGATGGAAGCTAAAGAGGCTCAACACAAGCAGCAGCTGGACGAGAACCTGGTGACCATAAACTTGCTGAAGAGAAGAGAGGAAGAACTCCTTCAGAGCCAGGAGAAGTCCACCAAGGACCTGGCTGAGAAACAACAGAGCTGGGAGAGTGGAAGACAAGGCGTGAAGTATGTAGTGGACAAGACAAACTACCAGGCCGCTAGAAACCACACCTTGGAGACGGAAAATCAAAAGATGGAATGGAAAGTGAAAGGGGTGATGAAGCACAACAGTCAGCAGACCTTTAGAATCCAAACCTTGGAGAAGGAAGTCCAAAAGTTGGTGCTCCAGTTGGAAAAGCAGGGAGAAAAGATCTCTGAAGACCAACAACCGATGGAGGCCAAACTAAAACAGGTGGAGAAGGAGAACGAGGATCTGGCAAAGAAGAACAAAAGCTGGGAGACGGATGTCAAACAGCTGAAAGACCAGATGAGAGAGAAGGAGGAAAAGTTCTCCAAAGACCTCACCGAAGAACACCTGAGCTGCGAAACCAAGGTTCATTTCATCGAGACCAAATTTCAAGAGGAAGAGAAGAAGAAGGGCAACCTGGTTATGAAAAAACTGATCGGGGAGAATGAATTGAAAGTGGTTCAGGCACAATTAGAACAGGCCAAGGAATCCATGAGGAACCTGGCCAAGATCAACAAGAGCTGGGAGTTCAATGTCAAACAGAAGGACATGAAAGTCCAGCAGCTGAAGAACGACTTGGAGGAGCAGGAGAAAAAGTTCTCTGAAGATTTGGCCAAAAAACACCTGAGCTGGGAGACTGGGTTAAAACAGGTGGAGGCTAAATGCAAACAGGTGGAGAAGCAAAATAATCATTTGGCCAAGATCAACAAAAGCTGGGAGACGGATGTCCAACAGCTCAAAGACAAAATGAGAGAGCAGGAGGAAAAGTTCTCAGAAGACCTGGCCGAAAAACACCTGAGCTGGGAGAGTGAGAAACATCAGCTGGAGGACGAGAGGAGAGAGATGGAGACTACATTGAAACAGGTGGAGGAATCCAAGAAGAAGCTGGCTGAGAAGAACCGCAGCTTGGAGTTGGACGTCACACTGAATGTCTGGCGAGTGAAGCAGTTTAAGAAAGACATGGAGGTGCAGCAGGACAAGTTCTCCAAACAACATCAGAGCTGGGAAACCAAGGCCAGTTTGATGGAGACCGAAATAAAAGAGGTCACTCAGGAGAAGGAAGACCTGGCTCAGAAGCTTCAGAGCCAGGCGACTGAATTAAAAGAGATTCAGGTTCAGTTACATCAGGCAGAGGATGAGAACAACCTGAGCTGGGAGACAAAAGTCCAGCAGCTTGAGGAGGAGATGAAGGAGCAGAAGGAGAAGTGCTCCAAAGACCTGAGCCAGAAACACCAGAGCTGGGAGACCACGGTTCATCTGATGGAGACTCAACTGAAGGAGGCGAAGGAGGAGAAGGACGACCTCACTCAGACGCGACTGAGTTGGGAGACCACGGTTCATCTGATGGAGACTCAACTGAAGGAGGCGAAGGACGACCTCGCTCAGACGCGACTGAGCTGGGAGGCCAAAGAGAAGAAGATGGAGGACGAGAAGACACTACTGGAGGACCTGTGTCTTCACATGAAGAATAAGAGCAGAGGATTCTTCGCTCGCAGGGGGGCGACTGAGGAAAGGGACGCCATTTTGCAGAAAATGCTATGCAAGATGCAAGAGAAGGAGATGGGAAAGAAAGCAAAGGGGGAGAAAGAGGAGAAGGAGGAGGCTGGACATCAGTAGCTGTCTTTTCCTCTCCTCTTTCCCTCCTCCATTTCCCCTCACCTCCTTCCTCCTACCTCACCCCCTCCTGCCTTCCCCTTTTCATACTCAGGGTTTTCTCCTGGAGCTCAGGTTTTCCCACAACCTATATAATAGATGTAAAAAAATTCACTATTAAGTCCCTCCCCCATTAACTGTACTCACTTCCTGCTACCTCACCCTCTCTCACCTTCCTCCATCCTTTATTTACTTCCTCCATACTTTCCCCTCACTTCACCCAAACCCTCTCCTCCATTTCCCTCACCTCTTTCTTCCTACATCACCCCCTCTTCCCATTTTCATATTTAGTGTTTTTTAGTTGTATTTAGACTTGTTTTTAAAATTAAAATGTTAATTAAATGTATGATGTGTATGCCTCACTGTGTAAACGTATACAGTATATATTAATTACTGTATGACATGTTGGTTACTAAAGTACCGGTATCTGTTCTATTTGTGATTTAAACAACTTTTAATGTAATAAATACAACAACAGAAGATGTTTGTGCAGATTGTTCTTTTATTTTGGGGTTCAATTACATTGTTGTGTTTTTGTTGTTTTTCAAAAATGTGTTGATTTCATATGAGCTGTTAAAGTGTTCGAAGCTCAGGGTTTACATTTAAAAGTTACTTAAAGGTCCCCTATCATACTGTTTTTCATCAATATATTACAGGTCTCAGATATATACAGAGCCTGTCTCTGATTGGCTGAAACACCAAACAGATCATTGCAGCATTACCCATAATCCCCTCTGTTTCAGCCCTGTTTCCAAAGTGCTGATTCTCTGTCTGTTACTTCAGATGAAAATAAGGAGCCCCTCCCCACGCCCCTCTGAGAGAGATTTGGTTAAAAATAACTCAATGGTGCTCTAGGAGGAGATTCAGGTGATAAGGTGGGGGGGGGGGGGGTACCTTGGTTGCTGATTGGCTAATGGTTACACAAGACAAAACATCGTTATGACATCATAAAGTGGCCAAAATCTGATCAGCTCATTTTCAGACAGGTTTTTATAGAAATGGATCAGGACAAAAAGAGAGAGAATCTTCGTTCCTGAAACTTTCAGAGTCTCTTTCCACAGAGGGGCCAAGAGGTTGCGCAACATTTCCGTCAAACGATATAATTTCCTTTTGGGCGGGCATGCATAACACGGCATATGGGGGGGGGGGGGGGGGGGGCAGGAGCTCCAACAAGCCGTTTAGGACAGAGAGTGAATACACATACTATACAGAGATGCTGTATGAGAAACCAATGTGAGTTTGGAACATTGAACAATCTAAATCTATTCTAGTAGACCTCAACAATGGAATTATGATCAGTAGAAATGGCCATGACATGGGACCTTTAAAACAGCGAGAAGTTAAAACCACACACAATGTCTGATACTTAATCTCCTCTTGCCCCCTCTAACAGCTGTGATCCTGGCTATTTCCTGCATTATGTTGGTGGCTCGCATCACTCTGGTCGTATGGAAGCATTACAAACGGCCGCTGTACAGTGGACCCAGCCAGTCACCTGTGGAAATCGCATTAAAGCAAAGAAAACTCTTTCGCTGAGTACTATCTGAACGATAAATACTGTGATTCATGTGTTAATACTGCAAAAAATGTGTTCATTAAACGCCTTCTGTTAACGATGACTGTACAGCTTTTTTTATACAAATAAATGGACGTAAAAAGGAAGTTTCTCTATATTTATTTTAAGGGTTTTTGAAGGAAATCCGAATTATACTACGCTGGACAAATGCTGGGTTATTAAGATTGTTGGAAAAATAGTTATTTAATCATATTTTATTGCATAAAGATCAATACTGATGTGAATTTTAAAGGAGCCCTATTATGCCATCCCTCTGGGACCTCTGATTTTAGCCCTTGCAGACCATTTACATGCACTAAAACCTTTATAACACACTATGGGAAAGGGATAACCCCAAAAAGCAGAATAGGGCCTCTTTAAGTAACCCTCTCAACCCTGCACACACACACACACACACACACACACACACACACACACACACACACACACACACACACACACACACACACACACACACACACACACACACACACACACACACACACACACGCCGATTACAGGGCAATTATAAGTGTAATCAAACAGATAACCTGCTATAAAATTGGAAAGTACATGCAGCAATCCAAAGTCCACTATATTAGATTAAGGTGATAAATATTGTGCTTCACACTTTGAGTTGTCGTCTCTGAGCGGAGGTTCAAGATGTCTGCCGTCTCTGTGAGGAATATTCAACATGCAGTGACACACACCGGGAGCGTCGCGTTGGCCCTCATCTCTCAGGTGATCTCAGACATCTTCAGTTACCTGGCCAAGGACAGCAGCGTGCCCAATGGTGAGTGACTACTGGGTATTACACTAAGAAATAATATCAGAACAAGGTCATGATCAGAGGTTAGAAATGTAAGAATCAGCGATGGCAGAAGTACACACATGCTTTACTCAAGTAGAAGTACAGATACTCGTGTTTAAACATACTCTGGTGAAAGTAGAAGTACTGATTAAACTTCTTTACTCAAGTCAAAGTAAAGAGGCTTTGAAATGTGCTTCAGTAAAAAGTACCCATAACTAGCAGCTGTTTTAAAGAGTACCTGACCTCCCTTTATATTAATAGAACAATAATGTCATTGTTAGCTAATGAATGTTTCCATGCTGAACAACGGCAACATGACAACGTTTTCATTGGTCCCTCTTCTTGAGAGAAGACCAGGAAATGATGGATACACGGATCGTGTTCAAATCAATAGGCACGCAATGACTCTAAATAATAATGATCACGCCACCAAACACACATTCAAACTAAAGGAACCAGCCTGTTTGGAAAATGTAAGAAGTAGAAAGTACAGGTATTTGAGTTCAACATGTAAGAAGTAGAAAGTACAGGTATTTGTGTTCAACATGTAAGAAGTAGAAAGTACAGGTATTTGTGTTCAACATGTAAGAAGTAGAAAGTACAGGTATTTGGGTTCAACATGTAAGAAGTAGAAAGTACAGGTATTTGTGTTCAACATGTAAGAAGTAGAAAGTACAGGTATTTGTGTTCAACATGTGAGAAGTAGAAAGTACAGGTATTTGTGTTCAACATGTAAGAAGTAGAAAGTACAGGTATTTGTGTTCAACATGTAAGAAGTAGAAAGTACAGGTATTTGGGTTCAACATGTAAGAAGTAGAAAGTACAGGTATTTGTGTTCAACATGTGAGAAGTAGAAAGTACAGGTATTTGGGTTCAACATGTAAGAAGTAGAAAGTACAGGTATTTGAGTTCAACATGTAAGAAGTAGAAAGTACAGGTATTTGGGTTCAAAGTGTAAGAAGTAGAAAGTACAGGTATTTGTGTTCAAAATGTAAGAAGTAGAAAGTACAGGTATTTGTGTTCAAAATGTGAGAAGTAGAAAGTACAGGTATTTGTGTTCAAAATGTAAGAAGTAGAAAGTACAGGTATTTGGGTTCAACATGTAAGAAGTAGAAAGTTGTCAGAAAAACAAGTAGTGTAATAAAGTACAGTAAGGAAGTATTTGTACTCCACTACTTCCTCAGGTAAGAATGTATGCGTTTTTTTAATATAAAACCTGACCTTCTGTTTGGAAATATGTGTCATTGAATGTGTTTTATAAATAAGAGTTGTTGTACGTGTGAAGTCTGCATGCTTCACTCAAATAAAAGCAGTGATGAAAACAGTAATAAAAGCAGAGGTTCAATTAAATTTACAAAATGTACAGATAAAGGTACAAATATTCAGATTTTGCTTTGGTGTTAATAAAAGCAAGTTAAAAAAAGCAAAAGATTAATGAAGCCTTACATTATTCTGTGGATGCATACAGATGTTATTTCAGTTTTAACTTTTCATATAGTCGTGAATTGTTATTGTTGATTAAAAATGCCACGTTTAAGGAGTCTTTAGTCGGCACGTGTACTTTAATTACTGAACTATCTTTGCCGTGAAAGGCATTCGAGGACAAGATCTTGACCTGCCAGACACACACACACACACACACACACACACACACACACACACACACACACACACACACACACACACACACACACACACACACACACACACACACACACACACACACACACACACACACACTGATAGGAGGTTAATTACAGCGGGTGTATATGTGAACTCAGTAGACCTGTGTGTGTCCTCTCAGCTCTGTTTCAGACCTCCTCCAGGAATGTTTCTGAGTCCTTCCCTTTGGAGGTGACGATGGACTGGTGGTCGGAGAGATTCTGGGTTATCGTGGACATTTGGTGCATGGCGTGGCTCGTGTACGCAGTGGTCAGCCTCTTTAAAAGGTATATAGCATTATTCACATGTTGAATTTCTTGGATTAGACTGTGCATCTAAATTGTAGTACCAATGGATGTAAAGGGGAATGTGAGAAAATAACTAATACATGGTTTCCAGGAGCACATACTACAGTTTAAAAAAGCAGACATTTTTGATTTTTGATAAAAGAGGTACATGGTAATCAAGAAAAGATAAGATAACAAACCAAATAAATAAATTTGAGCTGACAGAAAATGCTCCGTTTTAGTTTAATACACACGGAGTTAAGCTCACACACACTATTTTATGAACATATAGGTTCACCTGCAGTAGGCGTGTAGATTTAGTGGGAAACGGTATTTCCATCCCTCTGTCTGTACACTAGAAGATTCACAATAAAGTTGACTTTGACTTTGATTTATACAGTTTTTTTGTTCCATCTGCAGGAATGCCCACGGTCCTGAGTCTTGCAATCCAGAAATCCACCCACCGGCATTTTTCTTTATCTGGACTTTGGTTAACATTGCTAGGATGTGCAGCATGGCTTTCTGGGACAGACAGTAAGTAGTGCAGATGCTCCAAACTACAAAAAGAAGATGTGTGTGTGTGTGTGTGTGTGTGTGTGTGTGTGTGTGTGTGTGTGTGTGTGTGTGTGTGTGTGTGTGTGTGTGTGTCTCTGTCTGTGTCTGTCTGTCTGTCTGTCTGTCTGTGTGTGTCTGTCTGTGTGTGTCTGTGTGTCTGTCTGTGTCTGTGTGTGTGTGTGTGTGAGTGTGTTTGTGTGTGTGTGTGTGTGTGTGTGTCTGTGTCTGTCTGTCTGTCTGTGTGTGTCTGTGTGTCTGTGTGTGTGTGTGTGTGTGTGTGTGTCTCTGTCTGTGTGTGTGTGTGTGTGTCTGTGTGTGTGTGTGTGTGTATGTGTGTGTGTGTGTGTGTGTATGTGTGTGTGTGTGTGTGTGTGTGTCTCTGTCTGTGTCTGTCTGTCTGTCTGTCTGTCTGTGTGTGTCTGTGTGTGTCTGTGTGTCTGTCTGTCTGTCTGTGTGTGTCTGTGTGTGTGTGTGTGTGTGTGTGAGTGTGTGTGTGTGTGTGTGTGTCTGTCTGTCTGTCTGTGTGTGTCTGTGTGTCTGTGTGTGTGTGTGTGTGTGTGTGTGTGTGTCTCTGTCTGTGTGTGTGTCTCTGTCTGTGTGTGTGTCTCTGTCTGTGTGTGTGTCTCTGTCTGTGTGTGTGTGTGTGTGTGTGTGTGTGTGTGTGTGTGTGTGTGTGTGTGTGTGTGTGTGTGTGTGTGTGTGTGTGTGTGCAGAAGTAATGAAAGCTGCTGTTGCTTTCTGCAGTGATATCTGTGGAGCAGTTTTCCTCGAGTGGACTCTACCGATCCTCAGCTTCAACATGCTCTTCATGTCCTGCTCCAACCTCGACGAGCACAAAGAACGACTGGTCAGCAGCAACCAAAATGTGATCTGGTGGACACGATACCTGGTGGGCTGCTCAGAGGACTCTTTAAAGTAGAGACACTACATACTGATATACACCTGAACATCAGCAGGAGAGGACTCTTTAAAGTAGAGACACTACATACTGATATACACCTGAACATCAGCAGGAGAGGACTCTTTAAAGTAGAGACACTACATACTGATATACACCTGAACATCAGCAGGAGAGGACTCTTTAAAGTAGAGACACTACATACTGATATACACCTGAACATCAGCAGGAGAGGACTCTTTAAAGTAGAGATACTACATACTGATATACACCTGAACATCAGCAGGAGAGGACTCTTTAAAGTAGAGATACTACATACTGATATACACCTGAACATCAGCAGGAGAGGACTCTTTAAAGTAAAGACACTACATACTGATATACACCTGAACATCAGCAGGAGAGGACTCTTTAAAGTAGAGACACTACATACTGATATACACCTGAACATCAGCAGGAGAGGACTCTTTAAAGTAGAGACACTACATACTGATATACACCTGAACATCAGCAGGAGAGGACTCTTTAAAGTAGAGACACTACATACTGATATACACCTGAACATCAGTAGGAGAGGACTCTTTAAAGTAGAGACACTACATACTGATATACACCTGAACATCAGCAGGAGAAGACTCTTTAAAGTCGAGACACTACATACTGATATACACCTGAACATCAGCAGGAGAGGACTCTTTAAAGTCGAGACACTACATACTGATATACACCTGAACATCAGCAGGAGAGGACTCTTTAAAGTAGAGACACTACATACTGATATACACCTGAACATCAGCAGGAGAGGACTCTTTAAAGTAGAGACACTACATACTGATATACACCCTGAACATCAGCAGGAGAGGACTCTTTAAAGTAGAGACACTACATACTGATATACACCTGAACATCAGCAGGAGAGGACTCTTTAAAGTAGAGACACTACATACTGATATACACCTGAACATCAGCAGGAGAGGACTCTTTAAAGTAGAGACACTACATACTGATATACACCTGAACATCAGCAGGAGAGGACTCTTTAAAGTAGAGACACTACATACTGATATACACCTGAACATCAGCAGGAGAGGACTCTTTAAAGTAGAGACACTACATACTGATATACACCTCTTTAAACGCTGTTTCTATACATTATCTTGTGCTTTTTCATTGTGGCAGACCCAGAACGGCCTGGCTTTGTTTGTCTGGTGGACTCTCCTGAAAGCTATGCTGGGTTTTGGCATCGTGCTGAAGTATAAAGCCGGTGTTTCGGACCCTCTGGTCAGCACCGTCGTCCTCACCGTACTCTCACTGTTCACGACAACCTGGTGAGGACAACTGGAGATTTAAAGATTCAAGATTCAAGGCTTTTCTTGTCTTTTGTACATAGCTACAGTGGAGAGATGTCAATGACAATCTGAGGTCACAGGCTCCTCCAACAGTGCAACACAATAACACAGATTAAATAGAGCAAGTAAATACAAATGAAGTAATTGGAATATGATATATTAGATACAATAATTCTAAGTTGCAAACAGATGAATGTTATGGATGTTCTTTCAAACGTTCACGTGTTTAGCAGTGATGAATTATCTGATTGGTTTGTGGATAACATTTATGTAAAGGTTGAATTTGTCTTTAGGTTCATCCTGCAGAGCTCCCTGTTGACTAAGTACATGCGCTACACCTTCACCGTCTACCCCATCCTCATCCTGGGTCTGGGTGCGATGTTCACCAGGAGCTACCGCATCCACAACCTCGCCGCTAACACCATCTATTGTGGTGAGATGTCAACACAAACTATTACATTTTTCCCCATTTACAATGCAATTTACAGGTCACCTATTATGCAAAATCCACTTATCATGTCTCTTCTACATCAACATGTGTCCCCTCTTCTTCATGTCTCTTCTACATCAACATGTGTCCCCTCTTCTTCATGTCTCTTCTACATCAACATGTGTCCCCTCTTCTTCATGTCTCTTCTACATCAACATGTGTCCCCTCTTCTTCATGTCTCTTCTCAACATGTGTCCCCTCTTCTTCATGTCTCTTCTCAACATGTGTCCCCTCTTCTTCATGTCTCTTCTACATCAACATGTGTCCCCTCTTCTTCATGTCTCTTCTACATCAACATGTGTCCCCTCTTCTTCATGTCTCTTCTCAACATGTGTCCCCTCTTCTTCATGTCTCTTCTACATCAACATGTGTCCCCTCTTCTTCATGTCTCTTCTACATCAACATGTGTCCCCTCTTCTTCATGTCTCTTCTACATCAACATGTGTCCCCTCTTCTTCATGTCTCTTCTACATCAACATGTGTCCCCTCTTCTTCATGTCTCTTCTACATCAACATGTGTCCCCTCTTCTTCATGTCTCTTCTACATCAACATGTGTCCCCTCTTCTTCATGTCTCTTTTAACATCAACATGTGTCCCCTCTTCTTCATGTCTCTTCTACATCAACATGTGTCCCCTCTTCTTCATGTCTCTTCTACATCAACATGTGTCCCCTCTTCTTCATGTCTCTTCTACATCAACATGTGTCCCCTCTTCTTCATGTCTCTTCTACATCAACATGTGTCCCCTCTTCTTCATGTCTCTTCTCAACATGTGTCCCCTCTTCTTCATGTCTCTTCTCAACATGTGTCCCCTCTTCTTCATGTCTCTTCTACATCAACATGTGTCCCCTCTTCTTCATGTCTCTTCTACATCAACATGTGTCCCCTCTTCTTCATGTCTCTTCTCAACATGTGTCCCCTCTTCTTCATGTCTCTTCTACATCAACATGTGTCCCCTCTTCTTCATGTCTCTTCTACATCAACATGTGTCCCCTCTTCTTCATGTCTCTTCTACATCAACATGTGGTCCCCTCTTCTTCATGTCTCTTCTACATCAACATGTGTCCCCTCTTCTTCATGTCTCTTCTACATCAACATGTGTCCCCTCTTCTTCATGTCTCTTCTACATCAACATGTGTCCCCTCTTCTTCATGTCTCTTTTACATCAACATGTGTCCCCTCTTCTTCATGTCTCTTCTACATCAACATGTGTCCCCTCTTCTTCATGTCTCTTCTACATCAACATGTGTCCCCTCTGTGTAAAGAGACTCTGAAAGTTTCAGGAACAAAGATTCTCTCTCTTTTTGTCCTGATCCATTTCTATAAAAACCTGTCTGAAAATGAGCTGATCAGATTTTGGCCACTTTATGATGTCATAACGATGTTTTGTCTTGTGTAACCATTAGTCAATCAGCACCAAGGTAACCCCCCCCCCCCACCTTATCACATGAATCTCCTCCTAGAGCACCATTGAGTTCTTTGTAACCAAATCTCTCTCAGAGGGGCGTGGGGAGGGGCTCCTTATTTTCATCTAAAGTAACAGACAGAGAATCAGCACTTTGGAAACAGGGCTGAAACAGAGGGGATTATGGGATGCTGCAATGATCTGTTTGGTGTTTCAGCCAATCAGAGACAGGCTCTGTATATATCTGAGACCTGTGATATATTGATGAAGAAGAGGATAATAGGGGACCTTTAACTCACTCCTCTACTATCTTTAGGCTTTCTCATGCTCCTGATGACCATCATGAGTTTGATCCAGCTGATCTCGGCATGTTTGTACACGGATAAGCCGATCAAACCTGCTGCCATGGAGCCCAGCGTGTGGCACACTGACCTCCAGAGGGACGAATTCAAGAAGGATCTGTGCAAAAACTGAATGCATGTGGTGAAATTAAAAAATAAAGAGGCTCTATTATGTTGTTTCTGGGTTATTCCTTTCCTGTAGTGTTTTTTTAAACGTTTTCTTTGCGTGTAAATTGTCTGCAAAAGGCTAAAATCCCAAAGTTCCAGACCATGGTGACATCACAATTCGAACACTTGCGCTCCTATTGGCTAGCGCTCCAACACATTGCGAGTGATAGGCTAAGGGGCGGGACATCTCTAAGCTGTTGACAAATCACAACAGAGCTACACTAACCAATCAGAGCAGACTGGGCTCTGGTTTCAGACAGAGGGTGAAAAGAGGTGCTGCAGCACAGGCAGTATGAGAAAAATAAAGAGCTTTTTCAACATTAAAGCATGGAGACATGGAGAGACACTACATACTGATATACACCTGAACATCAGCAGGAGAGGACTCTTTAAAGTAGAGACACTACATACTGATATACACCTGAACATCAGCAGGAGAGGACTCTTTAAAGTAGAGACACTACATACTGATATACACCTGAACATCAGCAGGAGAGGACTCTTTAAAGTAGAGACACTACATACTGATATACACCTGAACATCAGCAGGAGAGGACTCTTTAAAGTAGAGACACTACATACTGATATACACCTGAACATCAGCAGGAGAGGACTCTTTAAAGTAGAGACACTACATACTGATATACACCTGAACATCAGCAGGAGAGGACTCTTTAAAGTAGAGACACTACATACTGATATACACCTGAACATCAGCAGGAGAGGACTCTTTAAAGTAGAGACACTACATACTGATATACACCTGAACAGAAACAGAATACGGCCCCTTTAACAGTGTGCACTTTACATAAATCACCAAAAGGGGACAGCACAGACTCGCTCAGCTCTGGGAATGTGGTGAGATTATCACCGCTCTGTTTAACCAGAAGATGGCATAGTGGTTACAATAGAATGAGCATATCATTATAAATGTCCTTTCTTAATCCAAAGCAAACAAAAAGAATATCATCCAGTGTTTTAATTTGTTTGCACATGCACAATTTCCTTTCTTACAATCTGGACCGTGGTAATAAAACCTGATGATTTCCCACATTTGATTATATCCCCCTCTCCCTCTGTGACGTTGTGCAGCAGAGATAATCACACAGGCTCAAGTTTTCATAAGTGCCCTTCTTTCTTGTTGCGGCTTAAAGAACTGAATATCAAACATGCCCGACAGCAGCGAGCACGACCTTTGATGAGGATCGCGAGCTGAAGAGAGCTAGATGAAAGCAGCAGAGGATAAAAAAGAGACAATGACTGAATGATGGACTCGCTGACCACAGTCTGTTTCCCCCATGTTCACATTTAGATACAGCTCTTTTTGATTGACAATCATAGAGTAACTAACCACAGAGAAGGCATTGCACTGCAGTTGGTGAGGTTAGTCAAGTAATACAAGCAGTCAGATTATCTTTCCTATTGGCTGTCAATTCATCCACAGTTTTAGGTGTGTTTGTTATAAACAGGCACACAAATAAATGAACACACTTGCTTGTGGATGTGGAGTCCTTGTAGGAAATATTTAAGGGTCAAGTAAGAAACTAGGCTGCACTCTCAAAGTCCTCCTGTTCTTATTTTATTTTTAAAAGCACAAGCCATACTGGGTTATTTCCCAGCAGGCACCATTGTTAATGCACCTTGTTGACATGCCCCTCATACAGTAACCTCTGGGTTTGGGTTTTCTATTTCCAAATGACATTTCAGATTGGGAACATACCGAGGCCGACAGGTGCAAACGCGACCTAAAACATTTCCATCAGGAGAAACACGCTGCAGTTTCAGAAAGGATGCAGATATAAAAACATAAAGGTTCCACATGAAGAAACATCTTCATCAACTTGACATCACATGCAGCTTTTAGAGAACATTCAGCAACTTGAGGAGACATGGCAGCGTTTACTAAAAGCTGCAGAAACCAAACGCTGCAAGAAGCTCAAAACACAACGGAAACCAGGGGACACTAAAGAGTGACGCACACAGCTGGGAGACCAGGGGACACTAAAGAGTGACGCACACAGCTGGGAGACCAGGGGACACTAAAGAGTGACGCACACAGCTGGGAGACCAGGGGACACTAAAAAGTGACGCACACAGCTGGGAGACCAGGGGACACTAAAAAGTGACGCACACAGCTGGGAGACCAGGGGACACTAAAGAGTGACGCACACAGCTGGGAGACCAGGGGACACTAAAGAGTGATGCACACAGCTGGGAGACCAGGGGACACTAAAGAGTGACGCACACAGCTGGGAGACCAGGGGACACTAAAGAGTGATGCACACAAGTCACTTTAAATTCAGTAAAGAAATGTGTATTTGAAGAACTGTGCAGAAATGTAAGTAAAGTTTTGAATCGATCGTCAGATGTTTAGCTCTGAACATGTGGCACTTTTTTAAGTCTTCATCTTTTTTAAAGTAATCTACAGACCACTAGAGAACCGTGCTCTCTCTATAATTAATACTTCCTTAATTACAACGGTAAATGAAAGTCTGTATCTTTTGATTAACATCAACACGCTCCTTGTTGGTTTGCCTGACTCCTGGAAGACTGACGGAAAGCATCAGCACTAATTAGCTCTTGTTTTGGTTTTTTAAACCAATTTAAAGTCGTAATTATTCCTACAGATGTCTCTCTTTGCTGTCCCCACATCTGGACTGAGAGGGTTTTTTCTTAAATATGGAGCAATAGGAGGTAGGGATTCCCAGCTAATTAGTGTAATTACCAAGGGGTTAATTAATTCAATGCATTAACATACTGTATGTTATAATTGTCGTAGCAAGCTGAAATCACTGTGCCTCAGTGGTGTTATTAAGAATTGTATTTTCTTCCAGCTAAGGCTACTACCAGTGGCGGCGCCAGGGTATGGCTGGGGTAGGCTACAGCCATACCAAGAAATGGCTTCGCCCCACCTTAGCCCCACCATGAAAAGTGATGTTAAAGTAAGCAAATTAAATTAAATAATAAGCAAAATGCTAAATGTTGAGAACACGGCTTGCGAAAATATACGGGTCGTGTCCACAGCACTCAAACTGATCCTGCTGTAACAACAAGTGCACGTTACTGATGCAATATGGTTGAGACCATTCGGGTTTATGCTAGAAGAGGGGACCAAGGAATAGTCCAAGTAGTGGGGGAGTTTTATACACTAAAGGTGTGGAAATTCTCTGGTGTTATAATATCAGCGCGGCCGCGGTCAGATCAAAATGCCTCCGAATGCATTTTGAATAGACCTACAGCCAATCAGAGCAACGAAACGTTGGGTCTGCGTCATGCCTTACGTCACGTTCACAGTGATCCCTTTTTATTTACTACAAGACAAATGTACCGTTTTATTTCATACAGTTCCATTTTGATTGAGACAGGGAAATAATCGAAACCTCACGCGTGGCGTTTCACTGTCGATGGGGGCGATGTAGCGTGTACGTAATTACATTGCAAATACTGACTTGAGCCCCACCACTGTATGGGTTAGCCCTACCATAGATTACCCAACAAACATACTCTGGCGCCGCCACTGGCTACTACTAACCTTGTCACATTTATTTAAAACTCGTTAATGACGTATTTGTTTAAGGTTTACTGTACCTACTGTAAAAGAAGTTGTCATATGCGTGCAACCTAACTTTAAAAACGTTGACGAGTCATAAAGCAAGATTTTTTACGATTTGTTTGTATATCATTTGTTAATATTTCACCAGATTAAATTGCTTTTGTTTGCTTACACTAAAGTGGAACATCTAACCGCAGTGTGATTTTGGTGAGATTACGACCATCCTGGCAAAAAGTTACAGATTCGTTAGCTGGCCGATGATTGGTCAACCGCTTAGTGATGTCCCGCCCCCTTTAGCCTATCATGTACAATCTATTAGAGCGCGAGTGTTTCGTAGTGATGTCACTGGGTGTTTCTCAATGTCGAGTAAAGCTGCTCCAGAGCCACTGTTTCAAGCATGCTACGTCATCGAGTGCCGCCGAAGGACTGTTCCAATCTCCAGCATACTTGGAATTCTACCGAGCCCGGCGTACTTCGTCGCGATACATTTCGAGGCTGCAAATGTGTAGACTCCGCGGTCTTAAAATCCCCACAATGCTTTGCGCACGGACCAATTTCCCCAAAGCAAGCGTACTCAACATTGAGAAACACCCACTATGTTCTGTAAGGAGTCCAATGGAGGTGTTTAAAGGAAAGGGAAAACCCCCCAAAAGCACAATAGGGCCTTTTTAATAACGCACATATTTTCAGACTAAGTTTTATGCTGCTTTATTAAAAAACACCTCACATAAAACAAAGATGGTTCCTTCCACTTTTCATTATTTCTGGTAACAGTTAAGATTTCTAACACATTTAGTTTTTATCCTTTTTAATAAGAAGTCAAACTTGTTAACCCTGTTATTCAATCCTCCAGACTGCGACTCTCTGAAAATGAAACAGTCACGCAATGAAATAATCCTTTATTCCAAATATTTCTTCATTGAGTTTTAATGAAACAGTTGTGCAGAGGATGATGGATTGTGCTTCAGCGAGACTTCAAACATACCCAGATTTCACTGAAATCTGCTCAATCACACAGGCTGAATTCAATCAGAGCGTTAAAACGGGGTCACGAGGTCATGTTGATGCATTTAGTCACTACATCAAACCTCTCCTCGTATTGATTACTTCCATCAACTCTCTGTTTGTTGATTCCAAAAGGCTCTCGGACCACTTGGACAAAATGTCAGACGTAATTGATGCTCATCTGTGTCGCCGAGCATGCTTCCAGCTCATTTAGGACGACTCGGCTTCTTTTTCCTCACTCTCTCCCCTCTGCATAATTATATGAATTCAATTAAATGGGGAGTGCACATTTGCATATCTAGGTTATTTCTCTTATGGAGAGAAAAGGGTCTTTGGAGAGTATAGAAACAATTACAAGCCCGGCAGACAGTAAAACCCCCCCGGTTCTTTTTGTGCTTTAAGGGGGGATTCAGCCTCTGGAGGAAAAATGTGATAAC